TACCGTTCCTTACTATATTTTCAACCAGTCTGCTTGATACTGAAGTTAGGTGTCTGTAAAAGGCAAGATCGCTTCTGAAACCCTTTTAAAAACCAGCGTTACATTAGCTACTCTCCAGTCATCTGGTAGAAAGCCAGATTTAAGCAACAGGTTACAGTCATTCTGCAACTTCACCTCTGAGTTGTTTCACAGTTCTTGGGTGAATACAGATGATTTATCAATTCCAGAACTAATCAAACTTACCCAAACATTAGGGGCATAATAAATAATGAAGTGCACAGGTCACCAAGAGAGCCTTGGAAAGAAGTTGTTGATGGCCTATGCTCCCATAGGAACTAAGGGCAAAGAAGAAGACGGGTCACCAACGCAGAGTGATCCAGACTGCTTGCTAAGCTGGGCACAAGCAAGCAATATGAGTTCCCATGGACACACAGCCATCTAGGAACAAAGCACACAGGCCACATTTGCACAATGGGTACTCTGTCCTGGGAAGCAGTGGTTCTGAAAATGAGCTGGGAATCCTGGGGGATAATCAGCAGAAGAGGAGCTCCCAGTGTGATGCTGTGGCCAGCAGAGCTAATGTGATCCCCAGATGCAAAGAAAGAGGCACCTCCAGTAGGAGCAGCAAGTATTTTACCTCTATATTTGGCACTGTTGAAATCACTGCTAGAATACTGTATCCGGTTCTGATGTGCAGGGTGTTGATAAATTGGAGAGGGTTCGGAGAAGAGCCATGAGAATGAGTAAAGGGTTAGAAATATGCCTTATCATGATTGATTCAGAGAACTCATTCTATTTAAAGTTTAAGGAAAAAGTTAAAGGGTGACCTGATTATAGTCTGCGAATACCTATATAGGGCACACACATTTAATAATTGGCTTCTCGAGCTAGCAGAGAAAGGTCCAACACGATCCAATGGCTGAAAGTCGGAACTAGACAAATTCAGATTCTTAAGATCAGAAGGACTTTTAAGAGCCCAGTTTGTTTCATGAGCAATGCACCGTTTTTGGTTTGATTCTGAGATCCTAATTTTTGTAATTGCACATACGGTTGGTAGGAACAAATGTAAACCAACAACTCACTGACTCATTTAAAAGACCCTTCTTTGAGAATCCATGCGGGTATAACTAATTCAGAACCTGTGTGCTGTTTGCAAATATGTCCACTTGCCTCTTACCCCCTTCTCTCTTGCCACTTGTAGGTCATTAACAAACTCCACCTTTAAAATAACGAGCTCACTTAATACTGAACTAATACGGTTCAGATGAGAAGGAATCTTTCCCTCCTACATACACATTACAAAGCCTTCCTCCCAGCTGAGGAGGATTCCATCGGATGCATGATTTTTCTTCACTAATGACAGGAGGTTTGGCCCGACACACTGTGCAAAAAGAATGATTTTCCAGATGTCCCTTTAACAAACAGCACAGGATTATAAAGACCTGCATTCCACATCCAAGTGACATTCTCCCTGCCAGGCTTGCCTTGCTAAACACTTCAGGGAGGTATGCGTCAGAAATGAGACTTCAAAAGAAAACAGAATTCAAAACAATTCCAGATATTCCTGCAAAGGGGGAGAAACAAATCTGGTTTCCGTGCAACTCCCATAAATACAGGAGAATCCCAAAAGCAAAAGAATTGTTATATAGCTGTAATTATAACACGGAAATCGATCTGAATAACCTGGAGTCAGCAACTGCAGTGTAAAGAGGCAGAAATAGCACCAGGGGTAAAATTAAACTGCCAAATGTGAAATCCCACCCTGTATTTATACCAGTTAAATCACTTCCTGTGTATAATTTGGTTTACGCTGTGATCCCAGGCAGTTACGCCCTACTGCAGGGTTACCTTCACAAGGGAAGTTAGTCCTTCGTTAACGATCTTCAATGTCACCAACTAGTGACCCAAGACAGACAGGGAGCAACTAAAAGACTAGGGGAAGAAGAAGAAACTGAGTCCTGTTGCCCCAGCTGGTACAGCAGGTCACACAGGGTTCTTCCAAGCTGTCAATAGTTGAGGCAACATTACAAAGATAAACAGCAGTGGCAGATCTCCAGCCACGCCTAAAACAGCAGCCACGCAATGAGGCTCTCTCTATCGACGGGGTCTTCAACACAAACACATTCCAAACCAGGCCTTGGGCTCCCACCACCACTATCTTCGTTGCTAAGTTCTGTAGTAACCATCTCGGAAAGCCTTGTGTTTCAGATTTCCCCTTCCCCTGAGTCCATAGCACGTATTCAGAACACAGTGAGCATCCAATGCCAAGTCCACTAACGGCAACCACCCCGTGAGCTTGTCCACGTGGATCTGGTACTTCCTGCTCCTTATCATAACCTAACTTCACAGCATGTGTTTCCTTCATGTCAGACTCCAGTCCGCAAGGTTTTCAGGGGTGTTTTACTCTCAACTCCCACGATGGGTGCCAAACATGCACATTTATGATACTATAAATATTTCATATCGGAAGTCAGTATGATTAATGTATCACCCAGAGACCCAGTCAAAATCAGGGCCTCATTGTGCTAGGTACAGCACAGAACAACAAACAATTCCTGCTCCAAAGAACTTACCATCGAAATGGGCAAGACAAAGGGTGGTCGAAAGAGACAACACCCAAGCCAGGTGGAAGGGATTATCGAAAATCAAAAGGAGAGGGGCGCAAAAGGAGGGAAGGGGGATGAGAAGAGCGTGGAGGACAGGTGGAGGGAGGCTGTAGCAATGATGAGAGGGATCAGAGCAATCCGTCAACAGCAGAAAGAAAAGACTATCCAGAGGAAGCCTGTAGAAAGTCTAGTCTGGTATCCTCAGTGTCCAGCAATGCCTACTCAGACAGCTTCTGTAGCTTGAATCTCTGCCCCGAGTCTGGCGGGGGGGATCTCCCCTGCGCGTTTTCTACACAAAGGGGGCTACTGTTAAATTTGCTGGGAGGGACTAAAATATCGTGAAAGTCCAAGACTAAGGCTGCCCAGGTACACAGACCCCTAGGCCAGAAGGGACTCCCTGCAGACCCGGCTGACTCCTGTACAGCATGGACCTGAACTCCTACAGCATCGTTTTCTTAAAAATCCAACCCTGACTTTAAAATGGCCAGTGACCGAGGAACCGCCACAGTCCCACTGCTTCAGAGTTTTTCTTCTTGTTCAAAATACAGGTTGGACCTCCCTGGCCCAGCCCGCTGAGGGTCAGAGAGGTCCTGAACAAGGCAGCTTGCTGGCCCAGGGGAGGTCAGGCCTCCAGCTCTCCAGGGCTCCCCTCTCGGCCACCATGCTGGCCAGTGTGCTGCTCCTGGCCCACTGGCGGGGCTTCAGTCTGGGTCAGCAACCCTGCTCCCGCCAGCAGGAACCCTCGCCCCCACAGCGGGCTGGTGGAGCTCAGCTCCTTGCTGGTGGGGCTCCGCGCCCCCAGCAGCCAGCCTGGTGTGGCTGGCAGAGCTCCTGTCCTGGCAGCCAGCATGCTCCGGCTGGTGAGGCTCCATGCTCCCAGTCGCTGGCCGGGCTCCATGCCCTTAGCCACTGGCCCTGCAGGCTGCCTGCTGCCAGACTGGTTGAGGTCCCAACCCTTAGCAACCTCTGTGGCTGGGGCTGTCTGGTCCAGCAACCTCCATGGTCCTGTTGGACACTGCAAGTAAAGCAAGTTCACGGCACTCCAACCAGCGGATTGTTTCAATGTCTTTTCACCCAGCGCAGACAGATGCAGGCAGCCAGCTTCGCCCCCCCGCAATGAAATCATTGTACAGTCGCTGTCGTCAGACCACAGAGCTGCTTGCCGTTAGTGTCACCAAATGCAGCTCCAATCTGACTGGTGTAAGGCTATTCCTTCTGCTCTCACCTTTAGAACGTCTGCCCTATATGCAGTATGGCAAATTCCTCTCCCACCCTCACCTGCGGCCACTAAACCCGTGGGGTCCAACCAGTTCTGAAGCAGTAGCCACTATCTGGCCATCTGAGGGTGGTTAGTTCACTATAGTGGCTGCTGCTATAACGAACTAGCCACTCTCAGCTGGCCGAATAGCTACAATGTTAAAGCCAACTAGCCACACTCAGCCAGCCAAATAGCCACACGTGGCTAGAGGGTAGCGTGTTGGACATCACAGCACTAAACAAAACTCACAGCTTCATCGATTTTAAGGCCCGACGGGACCTCTAGGTCATCAGTCAGGCCTTCTATGCAACGGTCTGGAGACGTTCATCCTGCTCCTCCTGCATTAAAGGTCAATAATCTGTGTATGGCTGAAGCCTCTTCCTGAAAGGCCCCGTCTTGACTGGAAAACTTCAAGAGATGGAGACTCCACCGCTTCCCCTGGTTGTTTATTCCAGTGGTTAATCGGCCTCCTAAACAAAATGCCTTACTTCTAATTGTGTGTGGCTTTACCTTCCAGCCACTGCTTCTTGGTATGCCTTTCCCTGCTGTGTAAGAGAGCCAGTATCTCCCTGTGAAGTTGCTTTAGTGAAGTTACCTCTCAGCGTTCTTTTTCGTAAGCTAAACAGATTGTCTTCTTTAAGTGTCTTGCTTTTAGGCATTCTTTCCAGACCTCAAATAATTTTTGTGGCCATTTTTGCACCATCTCCAATTTTTCATCAAGCTTCTGGGCCATGTGTAAATGGCTAAAATGAGAAGGAATCTGTTCCCAACATCTGAGCTGCGTTACAGCTAACTCTGTGCCCCGGGGCCACCGATCTGATTACCTTTCCCTCCATTTGCTGCCCAGGAATAAGCCTCCTCAGGCAGAAAGACAGGCATAGTTTCAGGTTGATGCTGCTATCAAGAATTACAGGGGAGCAAACCAAAGTCTCTTCCGGCCTGGCTAGGCATGAGGAGCGGACACCCAGAAAGCAGGCACGTTCAGTCTGCTCCTAAACTCCCCTCTCCCATCTGGCAGCGCACCCCCCTCTCAACCAATCCCCACACTACAGGAGTAACCCCGAACATGTGTGGTTTGCAAGAGAAACCATAGCAAACAAGACCAAGAGAAGCAGCATTCCCATTGTTCTACTCACAGTTTTGAGTCAAGCTTCAGAAGAAAGCCCAGTTTGTCATATTCTGAAAGACAAAAACAGGAGACTCCATGAAACAGCAGCTGCTAACTTCTTTCTCGTTACAAATTAGGACAGAGCTCCTCACTGAAAGGCACAGGTATTTCTGATTGGCAATGACAGCTGGCATTTCCTGCGGAGTCAATAACGTGCCCATTCTAGAGAGCTTTCGCTGAACGCAGTCCCTCAAGGTACGCCTGAATCGCCACGTTCACTTACTCCAACGCCATTGGAACTAGTTGAGACGGTGACGAGGAAGGCAGAGAACTAGCTGCCTTCCTGCTTGGAATGGAGCTAGGCTTGTCACAGACTCATCCATGCCAACGCCCTCCTCACACCTGGAGCTGGGGCAGCTTTCCAGTTTCTCAACTGCCGAGAGCACTCCATGCTTGCAGCCTAGTGAGGAAGCAAGTGCTCTCCAGAGCAGCACTGCTAACAGAGGGACAGCTACCCCCTGGGCACAGCTGGCAATGCACAAACAGCGTCGGAGAGGAGTGGAGAGATCTGGGACCCGGCAAGGAGGATCTGGGGATGAGCCCATCAGGAACCCAGGGAACAGCCACAGAAACACTCCCATGGGGACGTCTATTTATTTTAATGAGCTCTTGGTCTTGTAAATCAATTAAAATACTGCATGCAAAATCACAGTCTCTCTCAGGAGCCAGGTGATAACATGCCAAGAGACTACATTTCCGCTTATTAGTAGAATGTATTCTTTGTCCTGTGGTAGTGCCTACGAGCAGCCGTACCAGACTTCACGGCACTAGGTGCTGTAGAAATGTGTAACAAAACATGACCCCTGCTCCGAAGAGTTTAACAATCAGGACAGGCTAAAGGGAAAAGAATGAAAACGCTGCTCCTGCACACACCGGGGGACAGAAACAAGGGAGCAGCCCGTGCTATCGTGAAGGGGTACGTCTACACAGCGAAGTTATTTCTAAATAACTTTCCTAGCACCTACACAGCCAAACTGCTATTTTGAAATTAAATCGAAATAGCGTTGCGCTTATTTCGAATTTGGGAAACCCCATTCCATGAGGAATAACGCCAAATTCAAAATAGCTGAATCGAAATAAGCGCTGTGTAGACTCATATTTCGAAATAGGGGACCTCCAGCCCTCCCAGGGTGCCCTGGTGGCCACTCTGGGCACAACCAGGAAAACTCTTCTACTCTGCCCTCATTCATTCACGGTACTGTTGACCACCAAACCAGTAAGAAGAGGTGAATGAGGCTATTTTAAAACTACAGTACTAACAAAATCCTGGGTTTCCCTCGCCCAAAAGCAACAGTCTGCTCTGTGCTGCTGCTCTGTATATTGATAAATGTAAAGTAATGCATATTGGGGGAAAAAATCCCAACTACACATACAAAATGATGGGGACTGATTTGGCTACAACTACTCGAGAGAGAGATCTTGGAGTCATTGTGGATAGTTCTCTCAAAACATCCACTCAGTGTGCAGTGTCAGTCAAAAAAGCAAACAACGTTAGGAATCATTAAAAAAGAGATCGAGAAGAAGACAGTGAACATCTTACTGCTTCTATATAAATCCATGGGACGCCCACAGCTTGAATACTGTGTACAGATGTGGTCGCCTCATCTTAAAAAAAGATCTATTGGCATTGGAAAAGGTTCAGAGGAGGGCAACACAAATGATTTGGAGGGTGGAATGGGTTAGGGCAGCAGTTCTCAAACTTTTTGGGCTCCGGAGCCCTTTACATGCATAAAAATGTATGCGGAGCCCCAGCGGTCCACTGATTGTATGAGTTGTACCTATCGACGTTTCCAGTTTGTCAACCACGCGGCGCCCCTGGAGATGTCTCGCGGAGCCCTGGGGCGCCACGGAGCACACTTTGAGAAACACTGGGTTAGGGTTTCATGCGAGTAAGTTATGAAATTACAGACAAAGGAAGAAGATATTAAAATAAATACACAAATAAAATAATCTTACTAGGGGTTCTCTGGCTGAATAGTATGTGAGAGAATCTGGAAAAGGATTTTCCCCCTCAGCCACAGGGGAAATATACTGAAGAAGCAATATGGCGAGAGGTAGATGTGACCGAACACACCTGCTGGCTGCATTCATGCTACAAAACGTTAGACCACAGCTGACAGAGCAGCAGGAATGAAAATGGGAAAAGACTTTCCTCCAACCACAGACACACATAAGATCTCCTCAAGTCAGAAATGAAACACATTTCTACACTGTAGGCAAGGCCAGAGTTCAATCAGAACCTAATAGCTGTCAGCAATTGAATAATAAAAGTATAGTAGGGATTATACAAACACAAGTACAGCCAAGCACAGCAATCTCTATAAATGATGAAAATCCTGTGCCAAGTTAAATGCTGGCACAAATACAGAACTTTCTCCCAAGCATCCAATAGCAATCCAGCTGCTGGTCCATGAGTGAGAAATACTTAGTCTTATGTGTGTAAACTGTGAACAGACCACCCAAAGAGACCGTCCCAGGACACAAAGGATTAAAACCAATACACGTTTTTAAATCTGTGCTTTACAGCGATAGCCTCAAAGATAAAGAGAAACACAGTGGGCTAAATTCTTCCCTGGTGTGAACTCAACAGAAGTCAACATATAAGGGATGAATTTAACTCACAGTATTTTTAGCCTCCAACTATGAGCCTGATTTTGAAACATTTACCCACAAATAAACACACTGGAAGGCATAAATGCTACCCTTTCAGCACCTACTTGAGAGAACGTGAATACAATGACTTGTGCCACAAAAACACAAAGAACTGCTGCTCGTTTACAGAGCGGAGCCTCGGTAGGAATTAGTTTTAGACTTGATACACAGTATGGTAGGGAGGCAAGTCCAATTCTGTTATTTTACATTTTACTGACTGTCAAAGGAATTAAGTTGGACAACTCAGGAGGCTGAAATCCTCTACCAACGATGCAGGTTGTACCTCCGAAAACGAGCAGTCTCTGGTCCAGCAACTTAGTACGGGTTGGATTTCCCTGGTCCGGCACCTGACCCATCCCGAGTAAGGGAATCTGCTGGATCGGGGAGGTCTCCTGCCACCAGACTCCCAGGACACTGCCCCTCCCTGGCTGGCTCTACTCAGGCCCCATGGCCATTGGGTTCCTGCCCGCTGCCGCCAGCTGGCTGAGACTCGCCAGGGACCGAGCTCCCAGCCGCCATGTCCCCACTTCTGCCTCGCCCAGTTGGGGTTTCCTGGGAACAGGACTCCCCGGCTCTCCCACTTCTCCTGCGCCCCACTGGGGATCCCCTGGCGACTGTGCTCACTGACCCTACTACTGCCCTGCCTGACCAGGACTCCCCGTGGACGGGGCTAACTGGTCCCGATGGTGGGGCTCCCTGCTGCTGGGCTCCCGACCAGCTTCCACCCCCCGGGGGT